GATAAACAGCAGAAAGAGTCATTCTAAATTGTTCTAATGTGTTCAGTTACAACTATTGCAACACATGGGTTAAAGACGCCTCTCATTCTTTGAACATTGTTTTTTTCATTCTCTAATAAATACAAAGGATTCCACAAGATCATATGTCCATGCAAAACTGTGTATTGCATATTTATCATAAAGGAATACTTTATATATATATATGACTTTATAAGTCACAATGACCCAGCTCGGTTATTCTGTTAGATATCATGTGTACATCCCTATGTGCTGTCGGTTTCTGTGTGTGAGACTAAAGGAGAGCAAAAAAAGCAGCTATTTGAGCAGACTCTTGGTCTGGAGCCATGTTGGCATGTGTGCTCGTGCGTGTGTGTGTTGGTGGGGCACTGTGTCTGCCAGATTGTAGCTTCATGCCCTTAGTCCAGTAGATAACCAGTCAGCAGTGAAGCCACCCTCGTAATACACACACACACACACACACACACACACACACACACACACACGCACACAAAGACAAGTAAATGTGTGTTTCTGCTTCATAATCACGGCCCCTCAAGATCAATCAATTAAAGTACTGTTGTCCTATCACTCACTTTAGCTCATAATGGATGATGGACTGACTGCACTATGCTGGATAGCCATTATTCATATTCATACTATAACATAAACTCTGGCAGTGCAGTGGATATCACTGTTGTTTCGGGTTCGATTCCCTTTCTGGACACAGGGCCTTTCTGTGTGGAGTTTGCATGTTCTCCTATATGCCAAATCTAATATGCGAAACATACAAATCTGATTTCCATAGTGGATCGGGTGAGGCCAGGGTTATCAGCTAAATGGAAATATGGATTAATCCCTGCCAAGGGCAAACCGGTGACTCTTGAGGGAGAGTTTACATTTACATTACTGGAACTTAAGCTCTTCCTTGAATTGTCTTCCTCTGTCTTTGGAGTAAAGTAAAACATTTTGTTTTCATGGTGGAAGTATTGTGCCAGCTCATTCCTTACAGCATTCCTCTGTGTCAGCTGTAACCACACCACATCCATGTCCTCATTAAAAATAACTAGCTGGTTTCCACACAAGAATAATATAGTGAGGAGGGGTGGAGGGGTCATAAAGTTAACAACTCATATTCAAAGTTAATGATATGAAGCCTTGTTTATGTTCCTTATTCGTTGTCATCAGCCCCTTGTTTTTTTTTTTTTTATTCATTAGGGAAATGAGACGGCGTTACAAAGAGAAAGTGCTCTGAATTTAACTCCAGGTTTAAATAAATTAGTCATCTCAAATTAAAACCAAACTGTTGGTCCTGGTGACGTATGCAGATGAGTTCGAGAAATATGCAAATCGGGAGGCTGTTGTCGTTCTTTTTTCCCATGGAGGTCAAATTACAGTAAATGGCCGAGGGCAGTGCTCTCTGCTCTCTGCCCACACAGGAGTCTGTCTATTAGCTCCTCTACACCCCCCCCGACCCCTCCAAATATCCTCTATGCTTATTTCAAATGCCATCCTCCCTGCGCTGCACTCTCTCTTTTTTTCCCCTCAAAGTACACCCCCTGTCACAGGGTTTCAGCTGCAATTACTTTTAGTATCACTTCTCAGTGAGAAGTCAACTTCCCTGGAGGCTTCCTATCAGAACCTATTACAACAGGGGGGCAGGCTGAAGTTAAGTGGCATGACCTGTGGGTTGGATGGAGCAGGAGAGGGGGGGATAAATGTATGGCTAATTTGTGGAACATTTGAATAAAGGGACGAGGATTGTGACAGGACCACACGATGGGACGGCACGGCAAATAAGAAGTCACTTGAAGGCCAAAAGTACCGTATCATGGAATCATTTTGAGAGAATTGTGCGACTCAAAAGAAAGAATATATATATTTTACATTTTCCAACTACTGCTACAGACCCGTTTTTTGAACTCATTCAGCTGAGTGGGTCTACTCACTTCTCGGCTTCTTCTTATTTTTTTTACCTCCTTCACCCCCAATTCACCTCTTACCCCCAGGCCAAAACCATAACCCCATGAATGACCACACACACGCACGCAGAGAGAAAAATGCGAAGAAGCTGCAGCTGAGGTAGATCAGCAGAAGGGGTGAGGAGCAATTGAGGCGGCTAATTCAACAACAGTTATCCGTGTGTGTGTGTGTGTGTGTGAGAGAGAGAGAGAGAGATAGAGAGAGAGAGAGAGATAGAGAGACTTAAGGTGCAATCTTGTGGAATCTCCTTGCCCCGGGTCACACATATGTACTTTAGCACCAATGTGCCGAATCAGCCACCCATCTCTCTGATTGATGAGCTGAGTAGTTGCATCTCGTAAAACTCTGGTCTGGCTGCACACCTGGGATCCTTATGCAATCCAAGGTGAGGCTGTGTCTCGCAAGAGATAGAGAGAGATAGAGAGAGATAGAGGAAATAAAAACAATCTCGGAAGTTCTCGTGGCATGAATGCATACATATGGTAAACTGGTATTTGCAGATTCACAATAGTGGTATAAAACCCTTTGAGGAAAGCAATCACACAGATGTCCAATTCAGTTGTTAAAACAATGAAGTACTTTTCCACAGATGGTGAAGAAAGAAAGCATCATCAGCATATACACATCCATCCATAGGACCATGAGATAGGTGCGCTAGCTAATCTATTCAAAAAGTTGAAGGAGAATTCTATTTTATTTTCTAAGCAGTAACTGTGTGTACATTATTTGATTTACTTTGTGGAAAGAGCCACCTTGTGTCAGTACTGAATATGGGACTGTTCCCATATTTTTATGAAGCTTGCCTTTTACGCAGAAGTTATGGAAGATATTCTGCACTTGAGATAGAAAATATCATTGTTTTGGACGTTTTTTTGTAACCGTGATATGTGAACACAGTGTGAGCATTCACATTCCTACTCCCTGAGAGATAAAGACACACTTCTCTCCTTCACATCCACAGGAAGAACTTTACTGTAAGAGCAGAGAAAAACACATGCCCCCCCTCCCTCCCTCCCTCTCCCCCCCAAGTGTCCCCCCCAGGTCCCCCCATTGCTCATACACTCATGTAATTGCAATAGACAATCAGATGCCATCTTTATAGGCGCATGGTACAACTGTCACAAAGTGTAAGGCCGCAATAAAGCGCGGCCGATAAGTCCTGTCAAAAGAGCTTACGACGCGCTAACGCTGCCCTCACCACCACGCGCCGTTGATTGTTCCACTGAATCAGTCAGCAAGGGACGAGGAGGCCTGTTCCTAGCAGATGTCACGACCAATGCACCTCCCTCTCCCTGATGTTGTTAATAAGAATTAATGAAGGGTGGTGGCGGCCGCACGGCTGTTTGTTGCTGCGTGGGTGGATCGGGGGTTGTCTTTCTAATGCGGTTGGTAAACTCAAGGTGACGAAGGTGTTGGGAGACAATGAGGAGGTGGCATGGGTGAAAGCTGAACGCTTGACTCGTTTGAAAACAGTGACGCCTGCTTGAGGTGAACCCTGCAGCAGCATGATCCCAATGGTTCAGAGTCCACCTCACCAAAATATTTACACTTGACATTGTGTCGTGTTACCGGGGGCTCTTTCACGATTATTTTATGGCATTTTCAAGCTTTTATTTGGAAGTCACAGTGGGAGGTGTCGTGACGATGACATGCAACAAGGGTCCTTGGCTGAACTTAAATCCCAGTTCCATGGGTCCCCCCACACACTGTGCGATAACAGCGATCTTTAAGTTGATTTCATGTCACAGTGTGCAAGACTGGGGTAGTTGATCTACTGATGCCGGTCAGCAAATAGAGCCTGATGTAGTATCCTGCCCATTTTCTCATGTATTGACACGTCAACTTTTTCAGTTCTGTAAACCTATCAAAGTGTAAAATTCTTGAAGAAGTTTTCGCAGCTTTTTCCACCTCTATGATCCGCTCTGTGTGAGAGAGTGAGGCGTCAGCATCACTCCCTGCCACAGCTCCCACGGTGAGAAATGAAGTCATCAGCAGATACCGATGATCATCACACCTTATCGACCTTAGACCCCCCTCTCACCAGGTGGTCAGAGGTCGGTACCCCGCTGTGGGGCGGGACACAGTTGGTAAAATGGGAGGGTCTTGAGCGTATCCATTTAGGGGCCACCCCTGAGGAGTGTTGCTCCTCTCACCGTCAGAAGTTGGTGGGAAGGTCGCCTCTAATTGGTGCCTGTGTCCTGGTTACCTGCGGTGGCCTCATCACTGCGTGTGGCTTTGACTGCTCTCAGGTTTGATCAGGAAGGAACCTGACTGCGTGAGACCGTGCCACACTAGCATTTTGAGATGAGTTTCAAAATGACGGTCGGTCCATTTGCCATCATTTTTTTCAGTTTACTTTAAATCTTTTGAGTTTTGCAAAGTATTTTCTAATCCTCCATATGTAAACCTCTTGAAGGATACTTTTGGTTGTGCATAAACGGGCAGGACAATTTGATCAACTCGTGACACTCAAAAAGTACTCCAGATTTTATAAAAATATTGTCAAATTCAACATCATTCAAAAGCCCTTGTGAGCCAGAGTGAATGTTATTGATGCGAAAGTTATTTAAAGTATCTGTTTTATAGGCTTCAGCTGTACTTAATTAACAGTGGTCACATAAATCTTGAAAGATAGTAATTTATAACCTTGCTTGGTCTGTATCCATGGCAACACCACAAACACAAGTGAATAAAGAACAATGTGTCCAGCTGCAACTTCTGCGGGCCAAGCTTCATTAAATACTCAGACTATGAAACCGTCTGATGCTGCACATTCAAAACCAAATGTTAACATAACTGAGCAGACAATGGCTTCTTTAACGGAGGACCTTACCATAAAGGGCCCCGACTAGTCACAAGGCTCGCTCAAATGACTGCAAGCTGTTTTTATCCTTCCCATCTTCACAAGCAAACAGTCTGAACAGAACTGCACTGAACTCTTGTCTTCTGGCTGGTTTACGAACAGACTCTTTGAGAATTTTGAAAAATACACACCGACAAATAAACAGAGAGATCAGGGGTCACGAGCTGTGTATCTTTTTGATTTTATTGACAGAGGATGAACATCATGGCGACATTAGATAATAAAAAAACACACAGAAGCCACAACAGACACAAAGATATGTAGCTCCTGTTTGGATGGAGCAAAGTAAAAACGTAGCTGAAAGCATGTTAAGAGAAGACAGTAAAGTACAACAGACACTTTGATGCAAACACAAAATAAACCAGTATTATAAGCTTTAGACTAGTGTTTTCTTTTAAAATATGATTTCATTTCCTACCGTTCTTTGTCTACTTATCATTAGCTTCATAATGTTAATTTACAGGATCTGCTGCCACAGCGAGGCCTGGTAATGGCGCTAATAGCAAACATCCAGCCAGCAGCAGTAAGGCTTTCGGAGGCACGGATCATTGTTCACATGTCACAAAAAGATCCCTCGGCCTCTGGGTGCTCTTTTTCCTCTCTTTCTGTGGCCTCCCACCCTCCCTCCCTCGCTGCCTCCCTTCGTCCTTCTCTCTCAAGCATCCCCGTGGGAGCGCGAGGGTTGAAATGACACACAGTGGCTGACTGTCGCCCAGGGGCCTGGGTTCTGGCCTTGGCTGGCTGGATCTGTGTGGCAGCTGGTGAGCCCGCTGCCCTCTCTCTGGCCTGCAGCATCAACAGTGGTGGTAGTGGGACTGATTGGAGCCTCACTCTGATCTCCGACTCTGGGGCTGACGCTCAAACTGCTCACTGCTGCCCACACGACTGGTGGTGAGGAAGTGGATGCAATCAGGAACACACACACACACACACACACACACACTCAACTGTCCAGTCCAATGGCTGAGAGTTGCATGTGAAAAACATAAAATCCAAAGAAAACAAACAAAACGCTACCATCACGTTAGGGATGAGAGCTGAGAGAGACCACGAGACCATCAGGGCAGAGAGATGGCAGCATGACGGTGGTCATTATGGGGTCGTGATGGTGAACCAGCGACCACATGCATTTGGAAAAACTGTTGCTGAAAATGCATTCATGTGGCCTAAAGGAAGCTGCATGCGCTAAAAGCCATAATGTACTGCCAGTTAAGTAACATCTTTGAAGGCTTCTTTTAATACTTGTAATCGCATGTTCATAGTTTAGATCAGACAAAATAAATCCACATTCAAACATATATAAATAGAAACCCTTCCAGACTTCCAAGTCACCGACAAAGTCAAAATTGCCAACAAAAAGCATAAAAGTGCAAATTAATTGTCTGACATTTTTGCTCCCTAGATACTGAATAAGGGTTAAGACACCAAACGTCTTATGAAAAGTGTTGAATGAGTTAAAGTCAACAGCCAATGGCACTGAAATATTAAAAACAAATATTAAATATGAACTGAACTTGATTTTATTAGAACTAATAAAACTGGTTTTGTTTTTACTGATTTTCCTGATAAAACATATATTGTAGAAGATCCAAATAGCGAACAGGCAGAGTGAAGACACAAAACATAAAGGCAGGAATCACGATGTGAAAAACAGGAATACAAATCTTGGGTAATCATGACTATGTGGAAACGTGATGATGATGATGAGACAGACTTTTAGCCCAGGTCCGCTCCACAAGACAGATGAGAGTGTGACGACTCAGGCTAGGTTGGGGGGGGGGGGGTCTCAGGCCTCAGTGGTGTTTGCTGGAGTAAATTTTGTTCCTGAGCACAACTACGGGTGGAAGGGGGTGCCGGATGCCTGGGTAGTGCTGAATGTGGTCGAACCATCGTGTCACGTTCACATACTGCTCCTTCTCCTGGACGGCCAAGTCCACCTGAGTGAGTGAGTGAGTGAGTGTGTGAGTGTGAGAGAGAGAGAGAGAGAGAGAGAGAGAGAGAGAGAGAGAGAGAGAGAGAGAGGGGTTCATCCGATTAGAGAGAAACAGGTTGAAAGACGGAGCATCATGCTTTAATATTTGATGAAGTTAAACAACGTCCTATTCAGTTAGCGATGCCACATTAGTTGCAAACAGTAAATGTGATTTTGACCAGCGGACATTCTGTTTATTTAATGGAACAATAAAGAAAATGTTATTTTGCTGTTAAACGAAATTACTTTTATTTTGTTCTGAAATTGTATCGTAGTTCCTGGATACTTTAACTTCTTCAGGGCTTTAAAAAAAACCTCCTTCTCCAGTCAAACTGATCACGACTGATGAACACACGGAAACCATAACCTGTTGGTCACGAGTTAACAATGGTTCATTTTAAACGGTCACGAGCAAGTTTGTGTCAGACATATTTCCCTGTTAATTGTCAATGCAGGTGACAAACTACAACAACAAAACAATCCTAATAACACAACAGATCAGGATGTCCTTGGGAAAACGAATGGTATTAGACGTGTGCCTTTTCATTATCTCATTAACTGGAATGTGGCCTTTCGCCACACAGACAACACTCCTGCCTACAAGCATTCTAGCATCAGTCAGGTTTAATGTTCGTGTCATGTTGGTCTCCATGAATTGAACATCAGGACGAGCTGTGGTTCAGGGCTGGGCTAGCTGACCCTTGTCCCCGAGGTTAAAAACCACACTGATTGGGAACTAAAGTGACTCTCTTCTGCCTGGTGGCGGGGGTGGGGGCGGGGGGCAACCTTCCATCTCGGCCACAACCACTGACATCCCTCAACATGTGATCTCTCCCTCTCCCCTCCGTCTCATTCCGTCTTCCCCGTTTCGGAACTCGCATTCTTTCAATCCTGGAAGGCATAACAAACTTACTTGTCCCTGGTCTGAGGCTAAAGACATCACTTTGTGCCACATCGCTTTAGCTCTCTGAAGAGAAGTGAGAATGTGTTTATAGCCAACTTGTTCTTGATGCCCTTTGGCCATATGACTAGTCTAATTGTGTGGTACGCACTGTGACAGATTGCTTATTAAAGTTGTGGTTTGATTGAAGTGAGCGCTGATGGGGAGGGAAAGGGACGGACGGACGGAGTCCTTGGAAAATAGTGGTGAGAATGGTACAGAGACACAACAACCCAATCACATGTAGCCCTGAATGTGCAATCCCACACAACTTTGGAAAAATTCCATTCCAAAAATTCCAAGTTTTTTCTCAATTGTTTAAAGTAAACTGAAAAAACCTCATCCAAATCCAAATTTATTTTCACAAACTTGCATCAGCAGATGTTTTAGCGACACATTATAGTTGAAGTGATAAGGAGCACGTGGGAATGTGAACGGCGTGACCCCTAAAAGGTAACTCACTATGAGCGGATGGACTCCATGGAACATGAAGGTGTCCGCTAAGGTGAACCGGTTGCCAGCCATGTAGACCTTGTCCTGCAGGTAGAGGTTGAGGTCCTGTGAGAAAATAAAAGCAAATCAGGTCAACTTATGCAGCATGGCATGTATCTCTTCACGTGACAGATGAATACATTATACATTCTGGATTTATTGTACGAACTGACTCTTTTCTGTTTTGCTGAAAAACGAAGTAGTATGCAGCGATGTAAAATAAGACTTAAATGTAATTTCTTTGTTCTTTACTAAATGTTACTCTCTTGATGGACGCTACAGACCTAAAGGGGGCATGTATGACAGCAGGTTCGTTAACCTACATATCTGTGGGTGCGTGATGTACACGAGTCTGGGCCTGCGTGTGTGTGTGTGTGTGTGTGTCTCTGCTGTGCTATGTGGGAAAGAGTAATACGTAACCTGAGGGGGTTTAGCATCTCTCCCCATGACTGGCGACTTAGCACAGATGCTGTGCAAAACAGGCTATTTGTTTACTTCGCTACCAAATGACTTCAACTCTCGCTCGCAGATCTAATGAAGCTGTCCTAAACTTGGGCGTCGCGATGTGTGTTTCTCAGTCCCGACGTCTGTGTGTGTGTGCAAAGTCGTGCATGGAAGTGCTGGTCCCAGGGGAAGGGACCATCTTTAGCACTTGTACATTGTGCGAAGGGAACACGCCACGCACACGGAGCATCTTGGGGGCAAATGGAGTTATTGTGCGGCAAGAGTGGGCGATGCCAAACAAGGCATGAAGACGGCAGACTTCCTCCCCTTCCACAATCGGATCCTTGCTCTTCTTAGCCTACAGCCATGGAGCTGAAGCCCAGTGGAGCATCAGAGGAGAGGCAGCTCTCCTGCCCCCCCCCCCACACACACACACCCCCAGCACACATGGTGCTCGGAACCCTGGTACCTCTCTACCTGCCCCCTCCGAAACTGTGCACACCTATTAGTGCATTAGGATACAGCAAAGCAAAGTTTGTGACAGAATTTAGTCAATTCAAAGACAATATGAAAAACGTGTCTCTTGAATTGTTTTTTCCACCCTTTGGGTACGTCATGTGCAGTCCAGAGAAGCGCAGCTGTTCCTTTGTTTTTTTTTTTACATTTGATGGAAATGGAGCTAATAAATAGCTGAGATTACCGCACAAGATATATTTACATTACTATCGCAATTCCTTGCATGTCTTCGGGAGTAGTTTTCTGTAGCTACTGCTGTCGCGATCGTCCGGACACCATCTTCTATTGTTGCTGCTTTCCCACACAGTGAATTCACAGTCCCAACACGAGGGGCCGACTGTTGATACATCAGAACTTTCAGAATTAAATCTTGAATACCATTAAATGCTTGAGGGAAATATCTAATTAAATTCATTATGTTTTCTATATCTTTCACATTAGTGGTGCAAAAAAACAAATAGCAGTCAGAAGTCAGAAATCAAGCCTATAATGCAGTACATGGAGTTCAGGATAAGTGGGGAACTGACCCGGGTGTAATTGTCTGTATGTTAGAGCATTACAGTTTTATGAACATACTCCTGTGGCGGCAGCAAGTCACTCAGCACTAGCCTAACTGGTTTAAGGTGGGGTGACAGACATTCCCCAAATATTCAGCTATCCTTGGGTTCAGGGCCAAATTGGCCTTCAGTGTGTATCATCACATTACACGAGTGACAAGACGTTCGCTTCAGAAACACGTCTCAGCTTGAAAGAACTATGAGTTTCGTATTTGCATCCTGGGGTGAGAAAGTTTAAGAAGTCTTGCAGTTGACAGTTTTTTTTTTTTTTTTATCTCCGGATAATTTAATGGGAGATGACTAGGACAGGGGCCACCGGGCAGGCACCAGAACTGAGCTGCTCAGGGCGACTTCCTTCTGTAAGTGGCACCATTAAAATATTTAAGAGGCCTGTCCGGATAACACGCTGCCGCACAGTATGACTCCTCAGCCATGCCACAACAGTGTGTCACGCTGAGAAGTGCGAACACACACACACACACACACACGCACACAAACAAACACACACTTTCATGCTGACATGACAGTGCCAAGAGGCGCCCAGCGTCCTGCAGACCAGTGGCTGCCGATCCATTTCACGCTGACTGGCGTCAGGCACATTAAGGCTTTTCTTTTTCTCTGCTGTGTGGGGGCCATGTCACTGAAGGGCCATACATCAGTCTGTGTTCCTGTCGCTTACACTTAAACAAGACACACACACACACACACACACACACACACAGTGGTCTAGCTGGTAGACAGAGAGAGAGAGAGGGAATGTGTGGGATGCTGTGGCACCTCTCAAAGGAAAAGGGAATTATTTCAATAATTTTCTTCTTCTGACAATCATAAAAAAAAAAATGAAAAAATACAAGATGCAATACAACAGCAATTTGGAAGAAACTATTTCAAAGACTTCCTTGAAGATCCCCTTCTCTACCTTCAGGATGGTCTTGACGTCTTCCCTCGTGCAGCCATCCAGCTTGGTGACTCTGTACTCCAGCCACTGCTGCACCACTGCCCTGCTCTCTGCACAGTCTCCCAGCAGCTCCGGGCGCTTGGCCTCTCTCACCAGGTGACAGGCGACAGTCACCAAGCCCACCAGCGGAGGACCATTGACGTTCTGTAGCACAGGTATCTGCGTGGAGACGAGAGACGGGGAGAGAAACAGGGAGATGGGGAGAGAAACAGGGAGATGGGGAGAGAAACAGGGAGATGGGGATGACGGTGGCAAGAAAAGAGGGATTCTATTTCATTTGATTCAAAATCAGACATCAACTGTGTCTCCTTAAAGAACATGTTTCTTCAGTTCCCAAAAAATGCACCCTTGCTATCTTTACATATTCATGAATAAAACTGTTTTACTTGATAAAAGACACAAAGTAAATGAGGTTGAGTATTTAGGTTAATATCCAGATTAGTTCTCAGTGGAGTTATTCAAAAAGAATTGCTTGCAACATTTCCCATAAATATTAGGCTGAGTTGTGACTTTCTCCCTGTCTTTAACTCATCAATACGGTTACATTCATTTTACAGTGCTACTCCGTAAGGCGAATTTATAGCAGGCATGACGTCCCTCTCCTCCCTCACTTTACTTCTATTGACGGGCATGCGCACATCATGGGGCTATTTCCATTGTTGCCGAGTTGTGGAAATAAAGACAACTGGCATCTAATGTTGCTGCCTGGATTTGATGCATCAGCCTAACCGATGAAAAAGATCACAGACTGATAACACAAGGTTGATATGACACGAACATGCCAGTATTTCCAACACACATGACTCGCTTGTTAGCATTATCTAGCTAGCTGCTGTGTCCTATTTACAATAGTGTACAAGCGTTCTATGAAATAAAACAGCGTTTTAACGCCTAAAGTTGATTACACAAAGAAGTACGGTCATGTCACCTTTTTGTCCCCCTGTGTACTGTATTTGTTCGGCTTTTTTAATCCTAAATATTTCTCCAGCGATGATAGCTCCCGTAAAGCCATGTTTCTGACTGTCGGAGGGGCAGTGCAGTGTGCGTGTGACCTGATTGGGTAGAATTCTGAACTCCCGCCCACTATAGTTTGACTGACTGTAGAGTTAACCAATTACACAGAGCTTGCAAGTCTGTTCATAACGTTGCGTCAGTGAATGAGCAGTCATCAAGAATAAAATAAAATGAAATAAAATAAAATAAAATGAAATGAAATGAAATGAAATGAAATGAAATGAAATGAAATGAAATAAAAACAGTAGGTGAACTAGAATTGTACAAATTTAAATCTGAAATGTATCAATATTAAGGAAATTAATATTTTCCTTTTAGGCCATCTTTAGTGATTTGATCTGCTAGACTGATGTGATTTGTGAGTATGTTTGACCACATACCAAAAGAAACTGCAACTACTTTAATTGAATAACAAACACACCCTATCAGTACAGCATGCTGTTACTGGATATGATTATATCCCAGCATTCCATAGGTGGGCTCAACTCTGAAATCCAAACCTCCCCAGCAGCGTGGGATGATCTGATCAAAAACAAGTGTTACACAATGCTGCCGTTCATAGTAACTTACCTTTTTTTCTTTTGCAGAACTTCTTCATAAGGATCTGTGGTTGAATGGAATCAAAATGACAGTGGAAGGTTTGGAGTTTCAGTCAGAAGTCCTGCAGCAAAGTGTCCCTGTCCTGTCTGTCTGTCTCTGCAGTGTGTCCTGGCTGTGACATTGTGTGTGTCCTGTCTGTTTGCATTTGCACCGTGCTTGTACGATTTCTCCATAATGAAATGTCACCTGTCAGTCAAAATTGGGCTTATTAAGTATATACTGTCCAAGTATGTGAGTATATACTTTTGTGTGTGTGTGTGTGTGTGTGTGATACCATAGAGAGTGACAGCTGGGCTGAGGTGTCACACCACAAGCTTTCTTTGCATCCCCAGCAGTCCCACTTTGTAACAGCTCACCTGGATGACAAGGCTCGAGGTGATGTCAGCCACTGCAGCAATACAAATGAAATTCATATTTTTTCTCTGGATTTTTATTGACGTTATTCAGACTGCAATGAAATATAAAAAGCAAGGTATGGCAGGCAGAGGCTGGGGAGTCTAAACTGAAGCCGTCTGTGGCGTACACCTGTGGTTTTCCTACTCTAACATGTCAAAATGTATTCTGTGAAAGAGGCTTGTGGGGGCCAACAGCAATATTCTTTTATACATATTCATGGCACTTTGGTACTTCCATATTTGCCACTTTTGAGGGTCATGATTCTTCACAACGAGGAGGGCAAAGATGAATACAATGTTCATATATTCGACATCATGGCATTAAAATTAACTTTTTTAGGCAAAGCATAAAACACTACACTGTTCTGTTTAGCTTGTAATTACAAGACAGCAAGAAGTCCCTCTATCTTTTACCCTATTGTCATCATCATGTGGCCAGTATTTATGTCTAACATATACATTCTTAATGCTGCGTTACATTGCTTGGACTACACAATGGACCCATGGTGCTCTGGATCACAGTTGATTCTCATATGGGCATCAGTTGTGCTTCATGTGAACTATTTCCACCCATGAATCCACATCTTTCCCTTTCTCTTAATATAAAAGAACAGATGATATTTTTATACCCAATTTGTTCAGAAAAAGCTGTCCCAGAAAACTGATTAATTATAAGAATGAGTACACAGACTATCACAAATGATTAGATGCCATGAAACAAGGTAAGGCTAATTTCTGTATTTTTTTCTTTTTTTTTTGCTGTTTGTTTATAGGCTCCAGCACGTCATACACTTTTACCCTAGTGGGGCTTCCATAAATGAATGCCTGCAGCATTAAAGTGCGTCTCCTTTAACTAAATGCCTCCAAGCTGCCACATCCTGTCTGTACTCAGGCGGGCTGAGGACAACGATCCCCAGTGCCCAGGACTAACTGTAGCCTGTGGGAGTTTTCTCATACCGATTGTGATACACAATCTGGGGTCACATTAGTAAGGAAATCTACAATGGGGGTCACCGTTAGTGCCGTGGGGCTTCCCAAGGCAGGCATAGCCATAAACACAGCCTCAGTCCTGGTAGATATATCCCCCCTCTGCCCAGTCTGTAACTTACAATATGCCGTTACACTGATTTGTCTAGCTGGGATGCAGGGCCACAGCCCCGCCTGTCTCCTCTGTTACCTTTCACGACCTGTGAAAGCTCTCTGACTGAATACTGTATTTTAACCACACAGATGCTCGCAGAAGGAGAGGGGAGGGATTGGTTGTGAGTAGTCGACATGAACGCTGTCAGCACAGATTGGTGAAATTGCATATTGGTGCTAGGTCGGATCCCCGGCGTGGAGTGAACGTGGGGACGGGCGCCAGGAGGCGGGGTGACAGTTTGGGAGAGGGCCGCGAGTTGTGAGATGAAGACAGACAGATGTATGCTGCGGTGCTGCCCGTACCTTCCACTCCTGTCAGCTTTTATTTTTGATTTGATCTTGTCCAAAGAGCTGGATGCTTGATGTTTGACTTTTTCAAAAAACTACCATGAAAATAGATTCTTTTGGTAAATGGATGATAGTTTGTATAGCACACAGAGTGCGCTTATTTTTTTTTTTTTGCAGAATTGCTTTTTGTAATAGATTAGATAATAAAGATAATAAATTCTTGAAGGGTTTGTTTCAATCACACGATGCTCTTTTGATTTGAAAACTTAAAAACTTAAAAAGTCAACTATGTAAGTATTTTTTTTGTGTGTTTATTTTCCAGATCAATATAGAATGTTAGAAAATGGTAAAACTAAATAACTAAATAAGATAAAAACAGCTAAAAAAAAACAAGGTGGCACCTTAAAACGTCTTTGTTTGTCCCACTTACAGTCCACAACCCAAAGATATTCGTTAACTATCACATGAAACAGAGAAAAGCAGCAAATCCTCACATTGGACTGGATTCGATGATCGAAAACAGTCGCTGATAAATTTCCGTGACTTGTTTCAGCTTTAGTTTTAACGCTTCTATATGGAGACTTAATCTGAGGACAAAACGTAAACCTCATCTCCATGACAAACCTTCACTTCTAAGCCAGGCCTGCTATTCAGTGACTTTCAGCCAGTGCAGTATATGACTAGTAGTCCACACAGTGTGTCTTTTGGCTCCGGAGCTGTTGGCTCTTGCAGCGGAGGAGAGTCAGAGGATGCCAGAAATGTCGTACCTCCAGGCGGGACCTTTGGGCCTTCGTGACGACAACAGTGATGGGATTATAGGAACCACCCTGCTGCTCCACGCAGAAACAGGCACCCAAAGGCTAAAAACAACAAGCTGGTCCCCCACTCCATCACACACAAACACACGCACACATGCAAATGAGTGCATGTTAGAATATGTTTACAAGGGGGATGGAAGGGTTGGGTGAGCCAGTGACAGGAGTGGAATGATGACATTTTTGTGGCATTTCATGTCTTTCCCTTAATATTTGTGACACGAGATTAGCATTGGAGGGCACGCTCTTATGTGTGTGTGTTTGTGTGTGTGTAGAAGTAGGGTGGTTAAAGTCTCCGACTGATCAGGAGAGGCCCCCCAAGATAAACGAACGTAGTAATAAAGGCAGTTTCTCCATTTCCTCCTCTGCTTACATGCCAACCCACAAGGCTGTGGGACATGCTGGGGGACACTGTACCAGCTCACAGTGACAACAAACCCTGTCCCTGCCTCCCATCCAGCAGCAGTCACTTAGGACTATTAATTACTGCTCTGAATTTCCTCCTCCTTACCCGTAGCCATCCGTGTCCCCCTCAGACAAACAACCTCGGTGGGAGGATCTTGATTATTATAGCTTCTGAAAAGTCAGATTGTCTTTTATTGAAGTTGCCCACTGGCCATGCAGGTTTCGGTCTCTCTCTCTCTCTCTCTCTCTCTCTCTCTGTCTCTCTCTCTCTCTCTCTCTCTCTCTCTCTCTCTCTCTCTCTCTCTCTCTCTCTCTCTCTCTCTCTCTCTCTCTCTCTCTCTCTCTCT